AGGAAATAAAACCGTATTTTTTTCAATGGTAACTCTTGTTTTTTTTTTTTTGTAAAATGATTATTGTAATAAAACAACAGAGACAAATTTACAAGAAATAATCAGAGACAAAGAGGAATACAGTATGCATTCGTTTGTTATCGCTAACTTAATCTCATTTAGGCAACCTTTGTATAGATGGAGCTATAATTAAATTTAATGAAAATATTTTTTAGCAATTAAACTATAAAAATAAAAAGCAATACTATGTCAATTCCTATTTGCTCGGTGAAAATCTAAAACAATTTTGTACTGATGATGATGATGTCATCCGTTAACTGATCATTGCTGAACATATGATTGGAGGGTTTTTTCCAATGGTGGCAGGCGGGTTGGCAACCGCAGTTAGGCTTTGGTGATGATTCAAGGGAGCGCTGCTTCTCATCTCTTAACCATTAGGTTCTCTTAGTCTCCTCATGATACCCACGGCAAAGGAATCATACGACCGGTAAATTTTGTATTAGTAACGTAATAATCACGCTTCCTCTTATAACTTAATGTAATTTTAAATTCATAGGAGAATCCGGTGAGTGATAAACTAAATTCGACTGTAGCACTTAATTTTAAAGCGCATATTCGTATAATCCAGTTTGAAGCGTCGTAACTTCTCAAACAGCGCACCGTGCGCCACCGTCGCTTTTTTTTTATTCTATTTGGAATGAATATTTTGAATTTAGAATTCGCTATTCCAATTTTGAAATTATGAGATTTTTCTTATGGAAGTTTCTATTATCTTTGGTTTATCCGTTAATATTATAACTAGATTTTACGCGCGTTTTCTTCTATGTGACCGGAATTTACTCACTGACTGGGGTAACAAGTAGCCTATGATCTTCATCGCATCTCTGTAATACCAGATTTCATGGCCGTTAAGCTGCTAAGAGGTAAGAAACAAAACCACTTGTACATCATATATTATGTGTGAGATAAAATAGGTATGAATTCCACGTCTTCTTCTGTAGGAAAAATGACGTACTTGCTCTTACGTGGTCATTTTTCTAAAAATAACTTTCATATGAGTTTTATAAAAATCCTTACTAATATTATAAATATGAATGTTTGTTTGTCACCTTATAGCGTCTTAACGACTTAACCAAATTCGAAAATGATACATCTTTCTAGTCGTCTACGTACTCATACTACTATAGTTACTAGTCTATATTTCCAATTTCTATTTCTAGTTTTTTTTTTAATGGATGATAATGGAATGATAACCCCTATCCTATCGATAGCCTGCGCTTTACATTGACGGAATGCCAATGAGGGATGATTGGTGAGAATGAAAAGGCAGGTCAGTTAGCCCATTGTGACGAATTCAACGGTAAGTTAGTCACAATGATTTCCAGGGGGGAACATGTGGAGGTCGACCTGACAGGGTATATTGTTAATAATGCGGCTAGTAGCTCGTATTACTAATATTTTTGCCAAATTAGGACAACGAAGTGATTGCTATAAGGGTTCCGTTTTTTCCCTTTGGACGTACGGAACCTTAAAAATGAGCATAAGTTTTAAAAATACAGTGAATGCTCTATATAAGGAAACTCTATAAGCAACATTCTTCATATTTTATTTATTCTACTCAGCTTAGTTAGTAAAAGAAATAAGTACAAATATTTTCCAGAGGGTAAGTATTTTTATACTCCTTTTTTTCCTATAAGTAACTTTTCCCAATAACATTTTTTTTATTGAAATTTGTTTTTTTTGTACTACTTGGAATGGTAAACAAGCTGATGACCTATAAAGTGATAACCGAGGAGGGGGGGGGGGGGGGAAGGGATTGTTAGTAATGGAGACTGAGAATCCCATTGCTAGCAATATACCCAATCAGGTCGACCTCCTCGCAGTCCCCCTGAAAACTTTCATGGTTAATTCCCGATGAATTCATCATGATGCGCTAACTGGCCTGTTTTCATTCTCATCTATCACCCTTCACTGGTGCTCCGCCAGCGTATCCCGTTACGGCAGGCAGGGTTTCCATTTTTACCCATAAAAAAAGTGCTAACCGTCGCCTATAGACATGAGCAATACCATGGACATAACAGAGTATACTGTTCAAATGAGTCGCTTATATAGAGCGTTCACTGTAATATTGCTTGTTTTCTTTGTCGCCCACACACTCATTAAGGGAATACATATTTGCGGTATAACCCTGTAACGCTACATGCGTCCGTCACCAGCGGTCATCGAAACTTACATGTGCACGCAATTAAATCGCAGCGCAAACGCTAACGAATCGCGCCCACGCCGCGTCGAGGACTCCCTCGTTATAGCGTTTGAACGTGTGTCAAATATATCTAAGGCATAAAATATGAGATTTAAATTGTTGGTTCTTTGTTTATAAATTTAGCAAGTATTTATAATAATTATATGTTGCATTCATCATCATCATCAGTATCAGCCAATACTAAATAGAGGCATGTAATATATAGCAATATCTATATATTTTCCATCGTCAATCTCCAGAAGTTTTTTTTTTTTTTGATGGGTGAAAATGGTATGGTCACCCCGCCTGCGCTAACGGGATACGCTGGCGGAGCACCAGTGAAGGGTGATAGATGAGAACAAAAACAGGCCAGTTAGCCCATCATGATGAATTCATCAGGAATTAACCATGATAGTTTCCAGGGAGAACCGTGAGGAGGTCGACCTAGTTGGGTATATTGCTAGCAGTGGGATTCTTAGTCTCCATTACTAACAATCCCCTTCCCCCCATCTCCAGAAATTATATATAGATATTAGAGCGATTCTGATATTATCCATGCCTAATACAATGTATTAGAGTTCAATCTTCATTGATGCCAGCATACCTAAACCTAAAAACCTATTAATATATAACACAATGGTTACCATTCCATTTTCTTACTAGAAAAAAAAACTTAGCTCGCTCGCCGTCGACAGGGAGTTTGCCCCCATACCTTAGAGCTTAGATCGTCGCGTACAGCGCGGTTTCAGAGACGTTTCCTCCCACGAACGCTCAGGTTATGGGATGATTTGATGATTTCCAAGAGACTACAACATGGAGTTCTTCAAAAGAGGGACAAAGAGATTTCTTTAGGGTCGGCAACACGCGCGTAATACTTCTGGTATTGTAGGCGTTTCGAGTGGACCGTATGCTCAATGGTATTAAAATAAATCTTACTTTTTACTCAGAAGTAAAGGATAGGTTTTTACAGATAATAAGCTGACTTTACAAGTTACAACGTAAATATTGCAAGCAGCGGTCACTTCAAAACTTGCAACCGCGGAAACGTAATTAAATCGCAGCGTGCTCGCTAACGAATCGCACTCCGGCCGCGTCGAGGACTCCTCGTTACAGTACGGATGGCGTGTGTCGAATATTCTGTGTAAATATGTGAACCAGGAATCCGAATATATATTCATTGCCAATAAGATATTAAAAAAAAATCGTTTTCAATTCTGGCAACACCAGTTGATAAGTCGACTGGTGTTACCAGTTCAGTGTGAGTATTATCAATCAGTTTACAATTGACGGAGTTATGAAGTAATAAATATAAATAAAAAATAAATACAACCGAATCGAGAACTTACTTTTGAAGTCGATCGACAAATACGTTTTCTCCGCAAATTGAAAAACACGACTGCCTTGCAAAGAAAAGTGAAATAATTAAAAAAATATATTTACAGGGTACAAAGGATTAACATTTCAGTCCTCAGGAATGGCAACACATGGGGAGTATCATGGGCGAAACAGTATACTCTCTGTTATGTCCATGGTACTGCTCGTGTCTATAGGCGACGGTTACCACTTTCCATCAGGTGGGCCGTCAGCTTGTTTGCCATTCTAAGTTGTATGAAAAAAAAGTCAGTGTCACATGGGATAATGTAAGGATCCTTACGATACTCCATACATTCCAAATTTGTTCATGCGTAATATATATATACATAATTATGTCTATCAAAATATTTATTTTTATTTTAAAGTGATTTTTGTTAGATCAATGCACCGCCTACTACTCTCTCTGTTTAGCGTAACGCTTGACTGGTAGAGAATGCCATCAGGCATTAAGTCCGCCCTGTAGACATATTGTAATGTTTGCAAAAGTATAAATAAATAAATAAACAATTTATTTGCATTACTTACAGCACACTAATAACACCCTTAAGTCTTAAGAGAGATTTTACCTCACTCTGCGTGTTCTACCGCTTATACAACGGATTGTGTTCAGAGAAATTATTCAATTTGATGCCTGCGGCCACTTTCTATCATCGTACGGCTCGCCATCGACAGGGAGTTCACCCTCATACCTTACAGCCAAAATTGTCGCGTACAACGCGGTTTCAGAGATGTTTTCTCCCAAGAACACTCAGGTTATGGAATGAGCTCCCTGCCGAGGTTTTCCCAAGAGACTACAGCATGGGGTTCTTCAAAAGGGGGGTAAAGAGGTTTCTTCAGGGTCGGCAACGTAATGCCTCTGGTATTGCAGGCGTTCATAGGCTACGGTAACCGCTTACCATCAGGTGGGCCGTATGCTTGTTTGCCACCTCAGTGGTATAAAAAAAAAACTTATACGTCTACAAAAAAGTCTCTCATCAGGAATAATCCCACCATACTTTGTTTTGTTATAATTCAAACGGATTAGGTAGCGTTTTCGAAGAAAATTCCCTGACGACTTAATTTTTTCCGACATTTTCAATAATCATTGTCATTTTCAACCAATTTACACAAAACCTTAACCGTCCTCAGAAATCACTTTGTTGACAAATGAGCAACGCGTGGAAATCCGTTCAGTAGTTGTCTCAAATATCGCGAAAATACAGACAGACAGAAGCCGGAGAACTTTGTTTATAATATGTAGTGATGTAATCTTTACAATATTAGTCTAAGTCCGTTTAGGATATAGAAAGATATGTTTTTTTTAGTGTACTTATTTAATTGTTTTTTCAATCATGCATACGTTTATATATACAAATTTTTTTTACACATTATGTTTTATTTCCAGGTTTTGAGCAGTCAAATGGATCGGAAGGTAATTTATTGGTATATTATAGTAATTTATAGGTATACTTTAGTATTTATGGGTATATTTTAGTAATTTATGGGTATATTTTAGTAATTTATGGGTATATTTTAGTAATTTATGGGTATACTTTAGTAACTTATGGATAAATTTAGTAATTTATAGGTACATTTTAGTATTTATGGGCATACTATTAGTAATTTGAAGGTATAATAATAATTTTGAAGCGTCGTGGTCAAGTAATTAAAAAAAAAACTCGGTTTTAGTAATCCTAGGGGCAATATCAATTTCCTCGCATAGTGCTCACAAAGTTTTCCTTTTTTTATGTTTTATTTTTATAATTTTTATACAGTATAAGTCAACATCCAAGATACTGTTTCTGTTTGTGACTGAAATAAATGATATATAGAAATATATTTTTATTGCATAGATAACGATCGGATTTTATTGAAGTAGGTGTTATTTTGCAAATTTTATATCTATGGTTATTTGTTTAGAATTATTTTGTTTAATTCCACTACTATTAATATGTGTACGAGAGTGAGTGAGTGTTGGCAGTCGCACACATTAATAATAGTGGAATTAAACAAAATAATTCTAATCGTATAACCAGTTATAACCGGATTGAATCTTGTTTAGAATGACCAACCCGGCTGTTTTCGGGATCATCCAGGACTTTTAATAGAGAAGGGATTATTAAGGGATTAGTAGCTCCATTGCTAGCAGTACACCCTGTTGGGGGGAAAGGGATTGTTAGTAATAGAAACTAAGAATCCCATTATTAGCAATATACCCAACCAGGTCGACCTCCTCGCGGTTCCCCCTGGAAACTATCATGGTTAATTCCTGATGAATTCATCATGATGGGCTAACTGGCCTGTTTTCATTCTCATCTATCACCCTTCACTGGTGCTCCGCCAGCGTATCCCGTTAGCGCAGGCGGGGTTACTATTCCATTTTCACCCATAAAAAAAAGCACACCCTGTTAGGTCGGCCTCCTCGTGGTCCCCCTGGAAACCATTGTGTTCAATTCTAAGTGAATTCGTCACGATGGGCTAACTAACGTGCTTAATTCTCACCTATCGTCCCTCACTAGTACCTCTTCAGCGTATTAGCGCAGGCGGGGTTACCATTCTATTATCATCCATTAAAAAAGTCATCGATTTGGCAACACTAGGATAAATGCAATGGTGTTTGGTTTATAAAAACTTTAGTGGCTGCCAAATTACTATTTAAGTATATAATTATGTATTGTTCTAGCTGTTTGTTTGCCTTAAATAAATGAATAAAGGACCGTATGTCATTGGCTTATAAAGGCCACGTATCCAGCGCCGTGAAAACTTAATAAAAAAAAGTAATGCTTATAAGTTCATAGACGGTATACAAGGTACATATCAAGTTCAATACTTGCTTACAATACTACGGTATCTTTGACCGGCTGCGACCTGCCCTTGTATTGTTACCCTTTATACAATATGAAATATCTGCTTGTCTGTCAATCGATACTCTATTTTAATATTATGCAAAACAGTTGTACGAATGTAGACTGTGAAAATTTAATAGTGTTTGAAACGCCCATGATATCCGCCATGGTATTGATAGAAGAAAAATTAAAGCTTGTGCCTCTCAAAGAAAACAGACTTCAATTGTGATGAAACCAGTTATTTTGATTTAAAAATTAAACTACTAAACAGATTCTGATAAAATTTCGATGGGGCCAACCTGTAAGTTTATCCTTGCATATAAAAATAAAATTATTGTTTCCTCCACTATTTACACTGAATACAATAGGCAAAAATCTTTTGTTGTTACAAATTTATAAGTATAAGCAAACATTATACTCGTATTTAATGTGTAATTAGATCGAAAAAGCTCGACTAGTTTCGAGATCGTGACCCAAACGTGCTCTTTCTTTCCCGTGGGTGTTTTAAGAGGCGATTAAGCGAACTTAATAGTCGAGGAATGGGCAGCAGTATTCCATCTTAAAACATCTAATGGCTAGCATCTAACATTAAAGCTGCAGTTGCCAAACCGCCCATCAAACGTGGCAACTACTGGCAAAACCCCCCTAGGGGGAGAGTTATGTTCAGCAGTGGACAGTTAAAGGCTGATATGATGATAACGATGTATTACCTACCCTTAATGCTAATTGTTCGTTAGAATTTTCGTCTGTCCATCTATCTGTCTATTTGTTTGTTCGTCATCACGCAAAAACTACTGCACCAAATTGGATACGCTTCACAATTGTGTTCCTGGACGTCTGACCTTATATCTAGCGTATGTTTTATTTAAATATGCCATTTAGAAGACTTATTACGTTGGATTTTCTATTTTCAAAAATCAACCCGTACAAAGTGGCGGGCAAAAACTGGTATAAAATAAAAAAAAAAAACTATTTCAGAGACTACCGGTACGATCTGAATAATACCGCTCCCAGTCACTGTGCAGTATTTTCATTTTCAATGCAAGCACCCGAGGAGTCATCAAGTGGCACTGTCTATTTCGAATTAGTGATGTCACCGTATGACCTGAGTTGTCGATATATCGGTATCGATAGATACATATATATTTAGGTGATGAATGAATGAATTATTTATTTGTGCATAAATACATTTTACATGCTGATGGTTTACATTATGATCCTCTCTGTCTTCAAAATACTTTATTGCTATATGTACTCGAGTTATATAACAGTTTCTAATTGTTTACATACAATTACATACATGAAACAGTTCTAAAGCCAATCCGCTTGCCAAGCGTGGTAACTACTGGCAAAACCCCCTAGGGGGAGGTTTATGTTCAGCAGTGAACAGTTAAAGGCTGATATGATAATGATGTACGTATTTTCAAAATATTTGTCGCCTTTATTTACCGTGTAAATTATTTTAATTGTTCTCAGGATTCTATAATTTCATTAATTTATATAAATATCAGTCTAGTTAGTACTATAATGTTTTAAGCGATATATATTCGCAGAAAACGCTATGCATTTTTTGTAGTCCCATAATAATTATTAGAATTATTAGTTCTTTTCGTGTATAACGAATGAAACTACCATTTTTCATTTCGGAACAAATAATTTTGTAGAAATAATTATTGTTGTGTGCATAAATAAATTAATCTTAATTTTTTTTTTTTTTTTATTTAAAGATTAGATATTTCTTGTTTTCATCGATATATACTTTCACCGCCCTAAGGTCATCGTCATCGACAAGTCTAGTGCTTACGGTTCGTCGCCTCGTTCCCATGAATGCAAGAGAGTTCTTTTGTATTTTATATACTTGTTACTCTATACATATATTAAGAGTAACGGTATACAATCCTGAATTCTGGGGGGAAAGGGATTGTTAGTAATGGAGACTAAGGATCCCATTGCTAGCAATATACACAACCAGGTCGACCTCTTCGCGGTTCTCCCTGGAAACTATCATGGTTAATTCCTGGTGAATTCATCATGATGGGCTAACTGGCCTGTTTTCATTCTCATCTATCACCCTTCACTGGTGCTCCGGCAGCGTATCTCGTTAGCGCAAGCGGGGTTACCATACCATTTTCACACATCAAAAAAAAAAAGAATCCTGAATTCTTGCCACTTACGAGATACGCCAGTATTCATGAGGACCATACAAGATGTTATAAAAAGGGTGTGAAAATTTGTAATTCGGTAGTAATTAAAATAATTACTTTAAACAACATTATATTATATATACAAAAGCATTAAATTACTCAGCGGGCTATTGAGAGGACTTTTTTTTTAATGGGTGATAATGGAATGGTAACCCCACCCGCGCTATCGGTATACACCGGTGGGGCACCAGTGAAGGATGATAGGTGAGAATGAAGCAGGTCAGATAGCCCATCGTGACGAATTCAACAAGAATTGTTCATGATGGTTTCCAAGGGGAACCACGTGGAGGTCGACCTAATAGGGCGTATTGCTAGCAATGGGGTTGTAAAACTACATTGCTAACAATCCCATTCCCCCCAAATATTGAGAGGACTATGCTCGGAGTTTCTTTGCGTGATAGAATCCGAAACGAGGATATCTGCAAATGAACCGAAGTAATCGACATAGTCCGAAGGATAAGACAAGCTGAAGTGATAGTGGACTGCTAACATAGCTCGAAGAACCAACAACCGATGGGGAAGAAAACTTCTTGAGTGGCAACTCCGTACGGGCAAACGCAATGTACGACGATCTCGTAGTGGACAGATAATGGCCCAGAGGATGATTCCTTGCGTTTATATTTTTTTTTCTCCTTGTGTTTTTTTTTTTATCTTGCAGTGAAAAATTACAATGTGTCACTACTATTTACATCTCGGCCGACTAAGACAACAAAGCATTGAACCAGCGTGCTGACCATAATATCTTCTATTTTATAGGAAAAGATCTGTATCCAGCAGTGGGACATTATGATAACTTATAATTTTAATTTATCTCATACAAATTCCTGAACTCTAATACCTATTTTTTATGTTTCGAGTATGAATATACAATAAAACGTCTACAAACTAACATTCAAATTCATTGTACACAAAAGTATTATTGCAAAGAATGAAAAAGTGCCTGAAAACACCAATATGGAATATGAAACAAAAGATATGAAAGGAAACTAGAAACAAATGGATCTCAAAAACAAATATTACAACAATAGAGTAAAAAATTCTAATCCCCGCCGAATCGACGGATAAAAAGTAAAAATATTAAACCCTACGTATAGCAGACTTATCAATTATTCGGGGCGGAATTTAGCGAATGGCAACACAATGGGCCATCAATCCGGCCGGAACAAAAAACTAGCAACACTAACATTCCCGACCAAACAAAGGAGCGGAAAAAGCGCGCGAATGTATCTCGCCGCCATCTTGGATTTGAGATGTTTTAAGTATTTGACGAAGGAATTAAATAGCGAATGATTTTTGTTTCCTAAGAGTTGTGGTTGCATTTGATATTTCTCATGCGTTGAATTAATTATTTAATTATTTTTTGTGACTCAGTGTTAAAATTA